CACCACATCTTCTTTATCCAGTCATCTGTTGATGGACGTTTAGGCTGTTTCCATGTCTTGGCTATTGTAAACAGTGCTGCTATGAACACTGGGGTGCAGGTGTGTGGTAAGTTTTGGAATCAGGAAGCGTGAGCTCCCCAGCTTTGGTTGCTACGATTGAGGATATTCTACTGGCATCTGGTGGGAAGAGGTCGGGGATGAGGCTGAGCATCCTACAACGCACAGAATGCCTCTAACAAAGAATTCTCCAGTTGGACAGGCTCATAGTGCTCAGGATAAGGATGTTTACTCTTGCACAACAATGTGAACTTACTCAGCACTGAGCTGTGCACTTAAACATGCTTAAGATGCTACATTTTATGTTACGTGTATTTTACCACAGTTTCTTTTAAAAAAGAACATGGGTCTTTATTTTCTAGGGAAAATTTCTATTTAGAATTCAGCCTTACGCTTTTTGGATAGGAATAAGAAAATTCAACTTCTATGGTCAGTTAGAGCTTAAGTTCATAGTTAAGATCAGACTCTGTGGTGAGACATATAACAGTCCAATTATCAGATACCATAGGAGAGCCAAACAAGCTACCATGCCAGGGATTTGCAAGCAACAGACATAAACTGACTCTGGCTAGTGAAAGCTAAAGGCAAAAGTTACTGGAAAGCAAAGCAGTCCGTTGTAACAACTGGAAGAGAAGCTCTGTACGTAAGCCGTTTGTAGGACAGGACCCAGGGCACCGTCAGAAATGTGTCTGGCTGCAGCAATGAACAGGCAGTGTCTCCAAAACCCACTGCCACGGTGAATCAGCCTCTGGCATTTTCGGGGAAGTGTCTGATAGGCCAAAAGTCCTATACTCCCTTCTCAGCCCCGGAAGCAGGTGTCACACAAAGGGATACCTCACTTAGTTGGTATACAAAGGGGAAAGGCAGTCCCTGTCCCCAAAACCACGGCGAAGGGATGCTGGGCAGGTAAAAACAATTAACATCCATTTCTGCTATGAGACAGATCCTGCCTCCTGCTGCCCATCAAAATGCAAACAGGCAAACAAACAGATGCTTTAATCACAGGACACACCTGCTTATTGTGAACCTTATGGAAATGACTTAATCTCTCTTGGTCTGTTTTGTCATCTACAAAATGAGGAACTTCAAATTAATGACTCCCAACTCCCTTTTCAATCTTATTATAGACCTAGCCTCTTATATTTTAAAAGGATCTTTGACCTCCTGTTCGTGTATACCTCATATTTTGCCAAGATGGTAGATTCTCCCCTCATTTTATCTATCCCTGAAATGGCTTCCTAATGGCTTTGGTGGTATTTCTGAGTTTTGGATTATCGATCTGCTTTGGGTGGAAAAAAAAATCCTTCCATGATATTAAAAAACATGAATGCATCTTTTCAGGGTGCGTGTGTGTGGCATAATTTATATCAGTAAAAAAGTAAACTCCAATTCTTTATCCCTCTCTCTCCAAAGAGAAAACCATGCATTGGTGTAGGGAGTGTGGAGGAGCGAGATCCACTGAAATGGAAAAGCCTTTGCCGGCTCTGTGTCCTGCTAAAGGGCTAAGCCCTGCTTAGAGTGTTTCTCCCACAGAAGTGCAGCAGTGCGTCTCTGTGTTTGCAAAGGGAGAGCCACACACCTCAGGAAAATGAGTTTCTGAGGGATGTCAGAAGGAACGGGGTTTTGCAACTTAAGAATTAAGGAGAAATGTGGTCTGAGGTTGGAGGCTGCAGAGGCAGGTGGCCGGGGGGAACTCCTGATGCTGGGATAAGTGAAGGCTTGGAAGGAGGAGGATAACAGCCAATTAAAATTTGTTCAATTTCATTGCTCTTGTGCAATGTAAAATCTCATCCTTGGCAAATCTTCAGC